TCATTGTTAAATAGATTTTTTGTTTTTGGCTATTCTATTTAAAGCTTTAACTCCTCCCAATGAAATCACACAATCTTATTTGTGGTTTGTTCTTTGCAAGAGTCATTCATAAAAGAAAATGTGTGTGACAGATGGATAGCTAGATGATGCTTATTGCATTTTAAACCTGACATAATTGGCAAAAAAGGTGTTATTTTTTTTATTTTTCAATAAATGTGTCAAATCATCTTGACAAGTACTGATGATAAAGTCGAGGAGTTTGCTGGAATCTATTTGAATACTCTATCAGGAAGATCATCATAATCATAAAAGCTAGAAGTTAAATTTAACTTTATTCTCTCGGGATAGGAAACTGAACATCTATTATATTCAAATAAAGACAGTCTACTGCATAGAGTGTCACAAAATAAAAATAAAAAACTGTACTGCAGCTAACAGTCTAGCATATTTGGATCTACAGATATTTTATATCTGTTGACCAGAATTTGTGATGAATTTAACTGATATACATAAAAAATGAAAACTTAGTGGAAATCAATACAATTCAATTATACTTAATTAATTCCCGAAGTTAAATTCAGTTTCAGTACAGCCCATCCAAGAAGAGAAAAACACAGAAAAGACATAACACACACATTATAGATGGGGGGGATGTGATGTCCGAGGCCTTCCTGCCTTAAAAATGCGGTGTCCTTATAGTAAGACAAACAAAAGAAAGGGATCACAGTAGGTTAGGAGAGGAAACAAATCTTGTAAGATCTCTAAAATCATGAAAGAGATGTGATTCCTGATGAAGAATAAATGAGGACATTTCACTTTTTTTCCCAATTAGAATGAATAAAGTAGCGTCTTATTCATTACTAGGATACACTTTTGCCATTTCTAAGTTGAGACCTTGAGTTTAATGCCCCTGGTTACTGTTTCTGATTGCCTGAGCCTGACCCGTCCTGCCTTTGGACCTGTCCCCGTACTGATATGTTTACCTGACCTGTCTTCGGACTCCTGCTGGACTCTTGCCTGTTTACCGTACCTGGAACTGCTTCCTGACTCCGTCCTGGATTTCCCTTCGTACCACTTTGGATCTCTGATCTTCTGGCCTGGACTCCTGTGAACACCGGCTTTGGTTCCCCCTCTGGATTATCCTGCCTTCCTTTCTCTGATTGGTTATGATCTACTGCCTGTTCTCCAGTCTTTGGGACTTCAATGTCTGGGACTCTCTGGGCACCGTTCGCCGCATCTTGTTGGCAGCCGACCGGCTGGAACCTACTTCATCCTTTGGGCAAGGCCTGTACTTTAAGACCAGGTTGCTGACTCACGTTTATAATCTTCCTCCACCAGATTGACATGGTCTCTAACCGGTGTTTTCTTCCTGCAGAGGCTCCTGCCTTAGATCCCCTTGATGCTCACTGCAGATCCTTCATTTTTAACAAGCACTTTTTGAGATAACATACTATCTGTCTGAATACTTGGTCCTCTGTTCGGTGCCCTGACAGAAAAATAAAACATGGTGGAATGTAAAGAGATGTCTAAAGTCTTCAAAAAGAAATATACGATGCTGAAGATTCCCACAGTAAGGCATATTGTGCATATTCTCCTCTCCATGTTTGAGGTTTCCTAGAAGATACTAATGCCCTACATTTCTAACAGCTTGGAAAAAAAAGGCAACAAATGAATACATTTACCTGGCGAGCAGAACTTAGTAGAACTTTGAACTTCTCCCACTTATGAGTGGAATGAGTAGATCTGTCTTCATAGTCTGGTCAGTGTTTTAATGATTTTTAAAACATTTGAAATGAGCTATTTCTTTTTATAGAAATTGTCTATTTAAGTGAACAGACCTGAGGATGTTCAATTGAGAATGTTGTTGCTGCTAAGTGTAACAATGTGAAATCCAGTAATCAGTTAAATAGAATCAGTCTGATAGTATAAATCAAGATTAAAAATGTCTCAAAAAAGAAAAAAAATGTATTGATGTAAAAAAAATTATCAAGAACAGATGAGAAACTAATCAAATAACGTCTACCTGTCTGGAAAAGATTGCAAAGCAGTGGAGGTTGGTGGAGTTTTCTCCAGTGGGAGCTATAAATTCAAAATAGACGTATACCAAACACCAATCAAAGGTATACTAAGTTATCACACCAGTATATTTATATGAATGGCAACAACAACAAAAATATAAAAACGTTTGATAAAAACGAAACATTTTTGTACATACATGTTGCTCTTCTGAGGCTTTGTGAAGATAAATTTGTGTTTTGCATGGACCATTATTTTGTCACAGACCAAAAATTTTTTTTTACTAGTTTAATAATGGAGAAGCTATCAGTCAGCTTTAAATTTTTTTAATATATAAAAACTATTTATTTTCTGAGAATGTGTTTATTTAAGAGCAACTATTCAAATTAACAAACATCTAGCAAGCGTACACTATATTATATTATAAGTACACTATATTATAATAATCCCAGATTATTCATTTTTCCCTGCCTTTTCTAAAAAGTGCTTTAAATCAGTCCTAGCTGTCTTTATCCATGCTGGGGCAGATCCTGACGTTTGAAAAAGGAGGCAGGGAAAGCAAAAAGAAGTGTAAGCCTTGCTAAATTCAGTTAGCCAAGCCTTCTTGCTAAACCAGGTCCTGGAAAAGGATGTTTCTTGCGCCATTTCTCTCTCCCTGCAATGTGTCTGCACTCCTGCGACTCAACTCGACGTTTTGCGGGTGACTTCAATCACCCGCAAAACGTCTAGGCTGTGGCAGAACGAGGTGAGCAAACACACTTCCTGACAACTCAGGACACACCAGAGCTTCGTCCTGAGCTCTCCTACACCTTTGTGTTGCAGAGGAGCTACTGCGCATGTACAACTTTTAACGACAGTCAATGGGCAAAGATTTTTGCGCCCTAGGGCAGCAATATGTCATCGATCCGACGAAAAATTTAATGACGCTTTACTAGTCTAGTATCTTGCACATCTAAGAAATACGTATTAATATATTTCGAAATATTTTAAATGTTAACTTAAAATTATATTATAGAAAAATATATATATTTTATGTCTTAATCAGGGTCATTGGGTGGGTGGGGCGGCACCCTAGCACCCTCTATTGGCCAGCTGCCTCTGTTGCAAAGTCTCTGTTAACTGTTTGTTACCAGTGGACCACGATGATTAAGATTATCTACAAATGAAAAATACATTAAAGTTGGTGAACCCGGGCGGGCAAGTGGCGTAGCACTTAGTGCGCCAACCCATGTACGAAGGGCCTTAGTCCTTGACACGGCCGACCCGGGTTCAATTTGAGCTTTGGTCCTTTGCCGCATGTCTCTCTCCCTCTCTCATACCCCCTTTCCTGTCAGCCTACTGTCAAAAAAAACGAGCCACTAGTGCCACAAAAACTCAAGAAAAAAGAAAAAAAAAAAAGTTGGTGAACCCTCTAAGCAGTAGCCAGCATACCACAATAAATTAAAGGATTGAAATCTCAACAAGGAGGTCACAAAAAAAGCCACGCCAACATTAAGTACTGTATGCCTCACTTGAGAGACTGGGCAAAAACTGTATATAGCCTATGGTAAATGTCCAACTAAACCACAGCTGATGTTTACCCCCAAACTCCAGAACTTCAGATTTTTCTGTGAGCAGACGAGTAACAGGTGATAAAATTCTTTAGAAAGTTTTAAAACCGTTATATTGACCAACATTGTTTCAAAAAAAGAATATGTGGATAGCCAAAAGAGTGGCACTGGGTCAGCCAGGGTCTACTTTGGTTATTGGTGTACATCTGTAATTACTGGAGCCTTGAAGTCTCCTGTCTATGAAAATCCAGGCTGGGGATACCCGTCCATTAGTTGGTGATCTTTGGCACAAATAGACTTGGGTTCTGCAGCAGAACAATAATCCAAGGAACTTCTGCAGAGTACATCTTTATTGGCCCAGAAAACCAAAATGAAGGTCTAATGTGTGTCCACATTTGAATCCAATTTGGTAGTAGTTACATTAACCTAGAAAGACTTTTCATGCATGAAAACTTTAATTTGGCTGAATAAAAAAAATTCTGCAGAAGAATTTGCCAACTCTCCTTAACAGTGACAGGAAAGACTCACTAGAAGTTTGCATTCACAGCTGATGGCAGTTGTTTTTGCCAAGGGTGGCACAACCAGTCACTTGGTTTAGGAGGTAATTACCTTTTCATATAGCACCAGATTGGTAATTAGCCTTTTCCATGATTGGAAACGTGTGACTTAACTGTGATGAAAATTCAAAAACAAAATTATTTCTTAATAGGGGCACAAAACATTCTTCCTACAGCCTATTCATAGGACTGTGTTTTTTCCTGTGGTTAGTTGTGGTGATAGAAATCCTTCATGATCAATGTTTAAACAGTGTAAGATGTCAGAATTTGGGAAATTAGGTTCTTGTCACTCCAAGAACTTTGCAAAATTCCCTTTTTGGCTGAACATTGACTGCAGATTGGCTCCGTCGTGGTCTGGATGTCGCCTCTAGAGAATTCCAGTGGTGAAGCTCCTGGCTTTGTTTGTTTGGCTTTTGTGGGGAGAGCAGAGTATACTCGGGCAGAGGAATGGCACATTCACAACATCCCTATGTTCAATTTGCTTCCTTTAATTTGCCTCCTTACTTTCTCTGTTGGTTTTAGTAACTTGAAAAATGAAATGAGGGTGATGTATCCCATTTAGCTCATTTGGATCAGAGCATTAAATCCCTTTTTCTGCTTTTTGCAGCAAAAAATCATGATATCCAGTTAAACCCTCAAATAAATTACATCAAAGTAGACAAAACAAAAGAAGTAAAAGCTTATTTTATGTACAGCATATTCTGACCCAGGAAAGTAGAGAATGCATTCCTTTGAGATACCTCCAGTCCTGAAAGATTTTTCTCCACTGATAACTCTCACCACCTTTTCCCTCCTGTGTTTATGTCTGTTATTGTTGTTTGGTCTTTAAGTAAACAAGTTTTAGTTATGTCCATGTTTTCTTGTCTGTTTTCCCTAGTGAGTTTGTTTCTTGGCTGATGGAAATTGGTGAAACAGGAAACCCAGAAGAAGGGGTTCACTTGGGTCAAGCTCTGCTGGAGAACGGCATCATTCACCACGGTTAGCTCCTTCTTTTCTTCATTTTGTTCCTCCTTTAAAATCCCTTGTGGTCTTAGAACTCAACAAAAATCTGCTGAACTTCACTTGACCTTTAGTTTTAAACAGTCAGCCTCTCAGACAAACGGTCTTTTTACACCGCTTGTCTTGTTGGGTGAATGTTCTTCACTCAAATGTACCCCATGTTTTCACCCAGTCACTGATTTCTCTATTTACCTTACCACAGACATGAACTTCATTGGTCATTTTGTTGATTTAATGGTTATTTATTTTTCAAATCTCAGTATACAAAAAAAAAAAAAAAAAAAAAAAAAAAAAAAAAAAACTTGAGAAGAAGAAGTTGAAGAATTTTCTGCCCAGGTAAGAATTTATGGTTATTACAGCTTGATATCGTTCACAATGAGCACATGGTATAAAAAAATTACCATTTAGGTTCAGAATTAAGTTCCTTTACACTACACTCATATTTAGTATGAACTTTCATACAGATCTTAATTTTTACCGTATGATCCAAATCATGAAAAAGGCCTCTGGTAAAACTGGCTTAATATTGGACAAACCTTTTTAGCAGAATCTTTAAGAGATTGTTTTTTTACTTGGTTGTTTTCATCAGGTAAATAGAGCTTTGTACTAAAGTCTTGATTGTGTGTTACAGTTGATTGAATCAACTGGAATTGACTCAATCAAACAACTAATTTTTATGAAATTTGATTGAGCAGGTAAGACTCTAAATACCACATAGAACCTAATAGGATGTCCTACATGGGAAGAGTAAAACTGATTTGGTAGATATAAAGTCGGTGAGCAATGAGGAGGCATGTTACATCTTCAAATAAGACAAAGATGGTCCCACAGGGCAGGCTGTCCTAGGGCTCTGCCGGTGGCCGGTCACCCAAGGTGGACTCGGTCCAGGCCCACACTACCCCCTCGTGGGGACCCCACAGGGCTAGGGAGCCACCAGGGATGAGACAGAGCACCTACCGAAGTACCCAGCACCATACCTAGAGAACCATCAGTGCTCCAGCAGAAACAGGCACCTCTCATTAGCGAGGAGCATAAGAAGGGCCAGGAGACAGGCATTTGCTCATACTTGGGGCTCATACTTTGGTACCCACATCCCCGTAAATACCAAATTATTTCTAATACTGCGGCCCTGCAAATCAAATGCTCTCTTTCATCTTCCTGTTTTTACTGGACAGCTGCAACACTCAATCAATGACTTTTTTTTACATCCTCCTTTAGCGCTTTATTTTCAGCTTGACTAGATTCAAGGGATATTTTCAAAGCCTGCAATTCTTTATGGAGAATTTCAACCAGGGCAAGGCGGGCATCAAAGCTGGCGAGCTTTTTATCAATGAGGTCCAGGATGTCTGCATAGTTTTCTTCTGGAGAGATAGTGGAGCTGCTGCTGGCTGACGATGTAGAACCAGAGCATTAAGATGTTTCTGAGGCTTCCAGTGTGGCGTTGTTGAACTGTGATTTTCTTGTTTTGCACATAAAAAAATTGGTCAAAACACTCATCCATGTAGGTCTCCAGGCTCTCCACAGTTTCCTTGTTCAGTGTGAGTAGAAAAATAGGAGAAAATTAAACTTTATTAAGTTTATTCGTTAAGTTTTTATACGCCAATTTGTTTTTCCTGAATTAGACTGTGTGTTTACTGTCAGTCTAATGCCATCCTGCTCATGCAAAGCTTTCGCAAGATCTGTCAGCCAATCATGTGCTTAATAGTCCCTAGAAAAAAAAAACAGAATCCTATTTGCATCCATTGTGGATTGCTGTGTGACTCACTTGGCGACATATGCCGAAGCAGAAATGAAATTAGTCGGTGTGAACCCGGGGTTGGATTACTTTTCCATCCCAAAAGCAGTTTTAAATAGTGTATGGTGTATTGTCCTATGGGAACACCTGATCTCACTGGAGTTTTTATTGACCAAAATGACAAATGCTCAAAGTTAGACATTATGAAAAGAAGTATGTTTTCAGGAGTCTAGGAGAGACTTTCAAAGAAACAAACATTTTGGTGGTAGCATCATGCTGAAGAGCCGCTTTTCCTTAAGAGGTATTGGTCCCTTGAAAACACTGGATGTAATAGTAAAAAAGAGAACTTAATCCAGAATCCTCAACTTTTCCTCAACTCAACATAGAAGCCAGGGATCTGGAACCCATCAAGAGGTGCATGTGCCTGACCCTCCTACCTGGCTCTTCATAATTGGCCCAAACATTAGCACAAGAAATATTTGTAAGATTAAGATGTATCAGTTTTCTTTCCAATAGCTTTACCAAATTTCCACAACATGTTGTGTTTTCTCTTCTTTCTTATTTATGATTAACGTATTTGTTTACAATTTATTTTAGTTTATTGGTTCCTAATGTGTACAAGTAAGAGTAACAAATTTTGTGTCGTATGATATGTCTTCATTTGTTCTAAAACTTCTAAAACAATATCAAATATATTTTGGTTGTTTACTTTCACCACGGATAGGTCTCATGTTTTATAACATCTGACCAGTTTTTGTGTTTTTAAAGACAGAGCCTTTTGTTTAGATAAGCTTATTCCTACAACTGACATAAAATACAGTTAATTTCATGTTGTTCTCTGTATATTTATAGCAGGAGGGAGGGTGAATGTTGCCCTTGAATTGTAAAGGTTGGTGACTCCTAAAGTGGATGGTAAAAATGCAGACACAATAGGATGTTACAACAGGAAAAGGCTACCAAACAAGCATTAGAGTGGTTTTACAACTGATAAAGCAGACTAATATTAAGTTTCTGGAATGACCTTAAACTCAGTATTGAAATTAACTGGAATTTCCTCTCATGGGATTTCCTCACCAGGAAACCAATCAATTGGAACAAACTTTACTGATTATGTTGAGCAAAGAGGTCAAACATCTTCCCTTAGTTCAATCAAACACTTTCCCATGGCTACAGGCAGCATGTGGCCCCTGTATACTTTTCCAATGCTCAAGATCAGGTTAATTAATATAGCATATTTTTAACAACTCGTGCTACACCAATGGCTTAGTAACCAAAAATCAGTCCAAAAGAGTAAATCTTGAGAAAGTGAAGACTTAAAAAGCAAGTCAAAACAGATCAGTCGTATGTAAAAGCAGCAACAATACATCGCTCCAGAGCAGATTTGGTATTTAACAGACAGAAAAAATTGAAAAAAAAAAAGTTTATACACAGAAATGTTACGATCAACAACTAATAAAGTAGCTCTGCATGTGTATGTATATTAAACACATAAGCAACTCCACTGTTGTGCGGCCATGTGTGAGGGCTGTGAAATCCCTATGAATTGTGCAACAAATTCTCCATTTTCAGATAATCGAAGTTGTTCCATAGTCATTTCACCCTGAATATAGAAGTGTAAAACAATCAGGAAGCTCCACATTTGTGTGCCATCCATGTCTACAATGGGTGTGCATAAACCTTTGGAAGAGCATGAGACCTAAATTGGCTTTGTTTTGCATTCAGAGCAAATTGTTCATGATGTGTGCTTTACTTTCAGAGTTTAACTAAATCTCTCGGTGGTGGGGTATCGCTTCGGCTCTTAGAAATGAAATTGGGTTTCATAGCTGTTCTTAACAGAGAGGAATCGGACTCTTTGCCATCGGCAGCCCCGAGCCTCTGAATATCTTTTCATAAGAGCCTTTAATGGAACCTGCATGGCTGCAGCCAATAATACGAAGCCAAGTGTTATTACTGCTGGAGGGTCCACATAAAAAGAACCTAAAGTGAGTGAGGCACAGAGCTGCGTGAGCTGCAGCGAAATCTGTGACAGCTTCCCATGAGGTCGGATTCTTCTTTTTGTCTGGAAAGCATGGCCCTCCTCAGCTTGACTGTGTTTTTAAACCTCTTACAGTTCAAATAAAAACACTACCTAAGGGTTTGACTTTTTTACTCTAATACATCACTTGTCAGGATTTGTTTTCTTTTTTTCATCTGAATTTTGTTCTTCAGTCACAGACAAGCACCAGTTCAAGCCGGAGCCTGTGCTCTACCGTTTCCGATATGACGACGGCACCTACCACCCCAGGAGTGACATGCAGGATGTTATAGCAAAGGTAAAGGTCTAGGCTTAGTGTGAAAGACAGAATCACATTTTATCAAAACATTTCTGACATAAAATAAAACGCTGATTTCTTTTTCTTCTTTTTCTTGTTTTTTTTTCCTCAGGGTATCCGTCTGTTCTGCCGTCTACACAGCCTCTTTAACCCTGTCATCAGGTACAAGCGCTTTTTTTCAAAAAGCAATAAATATAAAGGGAAGATGTGTTTTTGGTAGGGATACTAACAAAATAGGTATATTCCTGGCAGTGCTTTTATTTCCCTTTTATCTGATTGATTCGACAGGGATGTAAATATTATGTGTAACTTATTTTAAGTGAACTTGTGCTATAGAAATATTAATTAAACAGACTGTAACCCAGAATTAATTTCTAAGTTAATTAGAATATTGTAGATGGCTTCTTGAGTTTTTGGTAATTTCTTTGCACTTGATACATGGTGGGGCCTCCTTTTGTGTAATGACTACATTAAAGTGGCGTGGCACATTTAATTTGTGGTTAAGCTGAGGTATAATAAAGCCTAGCTGGTTTTTAATGCTGCCTTCAGGTCATCTGCATTATTGGGTCTGGTGTCTCTCATCTTTCTTTTGACAAAATCCAAAAGATACTCTACTGGATTTAGGTCAGATAAGCTTACTAGCTATATCTACCCCCATAACAACTGAACTGGCTGTTTGTATGTGTGGTAGTATGTGTGGCAGGAGCAAAATCCTGCAGAAACCTGAAATTGGCATCTCAATAAAGCTCATTAGCAGAGGGAAGCATGAAGTGCTCTGAAATTTCCTGTTGGATGGTCATTGTTGAAAGGCAGCCAAATCATCAGGGACTGAGGAAACATCAAACCTGACTTCAAGCAACAAGGATTCAGTTCCTCTCTACTCTTCCTTCAAATGCTGGGATTGTGTTTGGGCGTCGCTTGTCGCTTGTTTCCCCCGAAATTCTAGACCATGATTTTTCTTGACGATCCTCTCAAGGCTTTTGGCAGCTGGTGTTTCCTACTATGTTTTTTTTTTTTTCCCTTTCACTCACCTTTCTTTGAATGTGCTTGGGTACAGCACTCAGAACAACTTACTCTTTATGAATTACCTCTTGTTGTTTGCCCTCTTAAAACTTTCTTGTTACTGACTGTCTTCCATACATCTTTCAGAAAAACAAAAAATATTTATAATAATGCCATCTGCCCCAGCCCTCCTTGATCCAGGAAACTGGAAGCAATAGTTTTGACAGATTAAAACATCCAAAGAAAGCCATTTATGTTATTTTATCGATCTTTGACTGCAAGCTCATCATAAAGGGGTTTGATTAAAGGAATAAAACCAGGAGTGGAGGGGAGAGGGTGTTATGTCAACACACAGACTTTTATATGTTAAAGGGAACTGTTAATTATGTTGCTGCTAATTTTAGTCAATGGTATTGCATTCTAAGGGGCAGATTATACTTCTGCAACCGCACACATCAAATGTTGCTTGGGTCCGGTAATGAACTAGTTTTGCTGGTATGCTTCTGCACAGTCAGTCTGGAATTTCTAGGGATGCAGAGCAGTTTCCTGCCAAAGCGAAAGGGGGAGCCTATTCGAGAACTTGTGAGAACTTCGGTGGATGATCACGAGAACTTCGGCGCTACTGGTGGGAGTGTTTATTTTCCAAAACAACAATGGCGCGTCTGCAAGATATCATGATCAGGGAGATGGATCTAGAGTTGCCAGACATCAAAGAGGAACCAGTTTTCTTAATGGAGTTGGCAAAAAGACCAAATAACCTTTCATCCTAGTTGTCCATTGTATATGTTTCTCGGTTTTTAAAAAATGGCGCGCCCCGGCACCGAATCGAGAAGGACGACCACATAGACAGCCAGAAAGGCGTACCAAGGACCAATCACAGCTGCTTTGACGGTTTGACAGATTTGACGGTTTCAGAGGCTATGCGTCAGAAGCATAAATTGGCCTTAATGAGGACAGATTGAAACTCACCGGGTAAACTCATCAGCATGTCAAAGAGGCTTTGACATGCTGATGTTCCTATAAAATGAACAGCAGTTTCATTCCACCTTACTCCTTTCTTATTAAAATACTTGAAACTGATTTATGAATTTAGAATTGAATGAAAATATATACAAGTGTGTATAGTAATTAATTAGCCATGAGAAGATCCAGGAAGATAATCATTACCGAACGTAGTTGAAAAACCTAAGGTAGGTGAGATTATTAAACAACTGAAATGCTTAATTGGTTACTATAGAGAACAAGCTTCCACTGCTTTAAAGTCCAGTGGAGCTGGACTTAATTCACCATTGCCTCTGACTTTTTGCATTCTGCAGCTTCCCAGCCAATGGAAACCAATTCCATGAAAGCAATTCTCAACATCATGTTAGTTAATTTAAAGGCTACTTGAAGTTTGGAGGCTTCTAGTGTTTTACTGCAGAAAGTGAGCCTTCCCTGCAGTATCCTCATACATTAGTTGCCTACTGCTGATTGCTGCCGTTCCCAATGACTGGTACGCCCAAATTCAATTATTTTGAGGGGCAAACCAATAGGTTTGCTCATAAAGTGTATGACATATTGTTATCTTTCTTGATGACTCAGTATAATTGCAGTTTCAGGTCAGGTCTCTGCTCTGCAGAACATAAAAAAACAATTATAAAAAAGATTATAACATCACACCAATGGTTACAGCAAACAACACAATCATAAAATTTGTGGACACATTAAAAGTGCTTACCTCAAATGCACATCAAGTTTTCCAATTTTAGGATGTGAGGAATGTTAACAATCGTGACTCACTCATGTTCCATTCTACAGTCATGCACTGAGTTGTAGTTGTGACGTGACAAAGTGTTGAAATTTTCAGTGGCATAAATACCCTTGCGAGGCATTACATATAGTACTTTACATCCCTTAATGAAGGAGATCTTTTGGGGAATTTTTTCACATCAGATTGAATGCTGACCAAGATGGCTTTTCCTCTTCTGCCAAGTTCTGTTGTCTGTACGCTGTAGCTGACTGTCAAACTGAACAGTTTTAATTCACCTGAGCTGTGGGTAATTTCAGCAATGGGTTTCTCATCTAAAAGTCCAGTAGTAATAAATATTATTGTCCTTAAAAATGTCCTTACTAGTGAAATGTTGTGAAAACACAATTGGTTGTATAAATGATAAAAAATAATATTGCCTATTTACACCCTTTAAAAATGTAATAATTGTAAGTAGATTGTAATTATTAAACCTTGGTTTAAAAACAAACATATCCAATTAAATAATTGAACCCCAATACAGCTTAAGGACTTATTTTAACTCAGCCACCGCAGCCTAGTTTGTTGTTTATGATGTACTTTAATGGGGCCTGAAGAAAAGCTTTCTTTACCACATGCATGCTAGAAGCGTCCCTCACAATTCCTTATGACCCAAACATTTAAGAACCTTACGTTTGCGTGCCAGATATCTTGGCATAGTAACTCTCTTCAGGGCATTTGAGGTATTTGTGTCGCTAGCCAGATCCACACTGTGCTCTCACTAAAGGCTCAGCACAATGCATCAGGGCCTGAGAAGGCCAGAACTTAATTGAACGATCCAGCCTCTGCTTAATTATGTGGAATTTCCTGGCAGAGCAAGAGAGAGTCGAGTCAAAACAGGGAAGAGAATAAACTAGTCAGTGGCCCCCTAATATACAGCTCCCACCGCTTTGTCCTTTGTCCTCTCATTTTATCAGCAGTTTTAAATGTCCTCTCTGGACCTTTACAGTGTAGACAGTAGAAGCTGATTGGAAGTGGTCTTAAATCTACCATTTATTGGGGGTTAAATTAATAATACAAATACATTGAAGGTCTAACACAAAGTATCTTTACATTACATCCAGAAAAAGGATGTTTGAGCCTCTATAGTTTTCTCATAAATCAAGAGGTTAAAGCAAAACTGCAACTTTTAGCTACATGGCGCTAGACCTGTAGCTTCCAGGTGTAGCACTCTTGAAAACAACTGGAAACGCTGCACTGTCTTGAAATTAAACAGCCTCCCTCAGTGTCTTGTAATTTAATAGCAGACGTTGTGGAGTTACTAGTAAAGATAAGGCAACATTCCTTCATCTGGATGAAAACCTACATAACGAAACCAAAAAATGTCTGATCAGGTCGGTGCTCTTGTGCTTAAGGGGAGCTCGGACTGCCACAAAGAGATGCTCTAGGTCAGATGGCTCATTCAGTGATGGATCTAACCCTCTACAATAAGATGAGCTTTTGTGAAGGGCAGCCCACAATTGTTGTATACTGACCTAAAAAATAATTTAATGTATCTAAAAAATGAAGTAATACTTGCATAAAAATGTCATGCAGTGTTGCTTTACACAGCTATAAAGAACGATAGGGTATATCGTTCTTTAGTTATTTATCAGGACTGAGCAGTGGATTAAAGCTTGAGCTTTAACCTTCCTTAGCATGATTTATTCCAAAGCGTGCCTTAAAAAAGACAGCTACATACATCCCCACACCGCGGACTGTCAGAGCATACCTCCCCCATCTCCAGACGGCAAGTTAAAACCATCTTTTTTTACCCTTTACCTCTCATACTTCTTAAGTGGTTGTTTCCTTGAGCAGAACACACGGCTATGGCTATCCACTGGGAACCCACCATACAACCCCCCACCCCTACCCATTTCCCTCAATCTGCTTAAAATTCCCAGCATTTCCAGTTCAAGAGAAATGCAGAAACATTTCCTCTGGTCAGAATGACTTATTATGCACGGCCATCTCTGCTTGTTAGAGACAAGCGTACGCTGCCAGATATACTGACATAACAGAACATTTACTGTGAGGAGGTGGACACCTCTCCTCACCTGCCCCCCACCTTACCATCTAAACAGCACCAGCTGAGATTGGGATTGAACTTTGGCCCTCAGACCTTGTTGAAGCTGTCTGGACGGCAAGAAAATGAAGCCTGTGTCTATGTGTGGCTGTGTGAGTCTGTCGGGGTGATTGTGGTGTACTAGCACAAGTCACAGCAGTTCAGGACTTTCCCCGACCATGTGGATCTGGCCCCCATATTGCCCCCCCCTGGGACACCACAGCATTCATGGGAAAGTCACGGCTGCATTTCAAAAGGCATTCTCGGGGTCTGGCAGAGTGCAGCCCAGTGCATAAAGTCGAGAACACCAACACCATGCCAGCTTCTAACCGAGGAATGTCGTTTCGCTGTCAACAAACCCAAAGAACCCACTTAGATACATGACACAACTGCAAGTACTTAAGAAGCCGCACCTTGCTGACAGCAGGAATTATGAGTCCAACTTTTGGCATTGTGTTTAAATAGACCAGACAATTACTCCTCTGCACGTTCCCTGTCTCAGATAGTAATAGTGAAAGCAAACAGCAACAATAAATATCCTGAGACACTCTTTATAATCCTGATATTAAAAATTGTTTGCCTTTGTTCTTTTGCAGGGATAAGGACTATCATTTACGGACTTACAAGTCAGTGGTCATGGCAAACAAGCTCATAGACTGGCTTATAGCACAGGTAAGCAGTGCTTGGAAAAAGGTTTAAAACACGTACATGTAATTGTTAATCAATTCTATTTTTGCTCCGAACATGTTTAAAATATGCTGGTTGTGTGTTTTATCTAACCAGAACCTTATTAAAAACTAGAATTGGGTTTTCAATGTGTAAAGATTTACCATTATGATCCGATACTTACTGCCAAATTCTAATCTCCAGCATGTTGTTTTCAACCATCTTCCCTGCTTCTTCTGATTGGAAGCAGATTTGCTCAAAAATGAAAGCCAGCAAAAAAAAAGAAAAGAAATATTGAAGTGGCTGTTGTCATAACAGGTCACTCACTTCAAATGGGCTGCAGAGACAAGAGAAGCCCTGAAATCTGAAGCTCTCAGCGGAGCTCAGAGGAAACGCAGACCTGATTGTATGTCTAAGCTTTATTAACCCTGACAGGAAGTGCTCAGGCTGACAGATTGATAGTTTTGTAAAGGATGGCAACAAAGAAATGAAATGAACATGGAAACCACAAGCGAATTAAATACAGATATTGCATGATTTCATCTGCTCTCCGTCGAAGTTCTGTTTCTGTCGGGGGTGGGGGGGTTATGTGTGACTTTGGCTAGTGGAGAAGCCTCCTCTTTCTGCTTTGGGACTTCAAGAGCTGTCACATTGCACTGTCTAGACATAGCTTTAGATGTGTTAAAGGTAGAGTGCTGGGTCGCTCTGCTGGCCTCAGGGTGTTTGGGTAGAGGAACAAAGCAGGATGGAAAGTGTGACATTTCAACTGCCTCAGGAAAAACACTTCTTCGTTCTGTCTGGTTTTCTTTTTGTTGCTTGTCTTTCTGTCCAGAGTCTTAATTGTCCACCATGTTAAACTTTTTTTTTTCTTCTGGTGCAGGGGGACTGCAGAACAAGAGAAGAAGCGCTTATCCTAGGGGTCGAGCTGTGCGACAATGGCTTCATGCATCATGGTACAGCAGTCCGTCTGGCTTCCCAGAAGCAGTCCTGTTCAGTCAGAGCTCTCCTTCATGGGTTCAGCGGAAGCTGAATGTTAAATTTAGGGAAGTTACTCAAAGAGTGGCTGGCATTTAGCATCCTGCCTAAGAACACAGCCATTCTTGTTCTGTTTTATTCCATTTACCACTTTGACGCAGAGCAGAAATAGAAGCATTTTTTTTCAATCAAGTGAATAAATCTGTGTTTGTGCAACTGTTTATGGATATTATCATGCATGCTTACAGCATTAAACATCTTAGGGTCAAGCTTAGTTTAATTTAGTGCTCAGAATTTTAAAACACTCACAGTTGCTATGAAACCAGAATCTGGTTTGTTGTTTTTCATCCTACCATTTATACCAAGGTTTACATTATTGAGCTAGCCAGTCACTGGACGTATGTTTTGCGATCTGCGGGAATCGAACCCCAGTCAACTGCTTGGAAGGCAGCTATGCTCACCACCATTGTATTAAAATTATTTTACTTTATTGATTTCACACTGGAGATATTGACCTCTGCATTTAACCCATGCCCTTGGGGAGCAGTGGGAGATCCAGAGTGGCAGTCTGTGGGAGTGGGACTCGAACTCAGAACCTCAGGATTCCAAGCTCTATGCCCTAACAAATAGGCCACCATTCCCCTCACGACAGGAAAGGAGCAGGATTGCTTTGGGAATAGCCAAAGACATGGGGCCCCCTTTCTACTTTGTTCTTTTCCTTAATAATTACGTGAAAAAAATCGGAAATACGATTAATAATAAAAAATCAGAGATATTATTTTTAGGCCATATCCACCAGCCCTAATCCTGGCTGTCTAAAGTCGGTACTTGCTTACATGTTTTGATGTTTCCCTGCTTTTACACACCTGATTCAGTTTATATAAAACATGTAAATAAGCCATTATTGGAAATCAGGTGAGCTGATGTAGGAGTAAGTCTGTAACAAGTTGGACACACCTGATGTAGGCCAACAAGACATGTTTGTAACTCTCAGCTCCTGTGTGGCCTCCTTAGTAATTTCAGAACATTTACCTTAGACCAGGGGTCACCAACGCGGTGCCCGCGGGCACCAAGGGGCCCTCAAGGACCACATGGGGTGCCCTCTTCATCTTCTGAAAACAGAAGAACTCACTCAGTGGGTTAAGTTTAATTTTTTTTTATTCTGTTGCTCTTCTTTTTAATCATTTATGTATTATTTAATCATGTTAACGATTTCATCATATTTCAGTGGTTTCAAAATGACAATATTAAAAAGAAAATTAGAAATGAATAAAAGAATAAAATAAGAATAAAAATGAGTTTTTATGGATGAGATTTACTGTAGATCAACACTGATCCCTCCAGTTCATAGGTCAGTATTGGTAGCCCTTCCTATGACTCGGTAGCCATGAAGTAGCCCTCAGCCTTAAAAAGGTTGGTGACCCCTGCCTTAGACTGTTTAAACACAGGATTACTTAACTACTCAATTATTTACTCAATCATTCTCTTCTCTTTGGTTACCGACTTATTTTCCTACTTACCAATTTATTCACTATCTCAGATACTTACCTGCCTTTCCTTATCTAACTAATCACACAATTGCCAAGTTATTCAATACTTAATTATTAAACTGCTTTTTTACTTATTTATCTACTTACCGGCTTATTTCCCAACTCATTCAGTTGCCTACTTAATGCGTTTATATTCTCAAACACCATACTATCTTCCATTCTATTATTATTGGACAGCTGATCGAAAATTAATCTGTTTTGTTAAATGAAAAAAAAAAAAAAAAAACATGAGCCATCCAAACCATTGCATTTATTTATTTTGTTATAAATGTTAGAACTCTTTAAGTCAAAATGTTCTGTGGGCATTGAATTGTTGATATTAATTTATAGCACTGTTCCATTTTATTAGTGTTGGAGAAGAGTGAGTTTAAGGACGAACCTCTGCTGTTCCGCTTTTTTGCTGATGAGGAGATGGAGGGATCCAACACCAAACACAAACCCATGAAGCACGATCTGAAAATAGTTGAAAATGTTATTGCAAAATCTCTCCTGGTGAGTTCCTCTTGTTTCATCAACTTCATCAGCTTCTTGTCATGTCATATGCTAAGACTTTGTAACCTTTGATCTACGCTTAAGCTTAGTAAATTATTAGGAAGGGCACAGCTGTGAGTAGAGAAAATAAAAACTTTTTATTCTTAGTAAGCAAGACCAGCATTATTTCCAGAAGCAAAATCAGCAAAATACAACAAAATCTGTTATCTGTCTGGAGCACTATCCTCTCCTTCTGTTGTTTGTGCTTTGGGAGTGTTTTGCTCTGCTGGCTTGGAGTTTTGCTGATACTCAGCATGTTGCTTTTTTTCCCAGATAAGGCCAAGTGATGGAAGCTATGGTTTTACCCTGGAAGAAAGAAACAGAGTCCCCATCATCAAATGTGTGGAGAAGGGCTCCGCAGCTGAGGTGAGACGTTTGAGACAAAAGGATGCGCCACACGTCCTCGCCTTGTAAACATTTAGGGCATACTTTGAATCGCGGTCTGTTTGTGTTTAAAGCTGAACAGATATTGGAGGAATATTTGCTTAGTTCTACCTTTTGTCCTCTAAGGCCCCTGTATCATCTACTGTAAATGCTCCAAATGTGTGCTGACATCCGTAGGTTTTGCTAATACATAGAACTGTGTGCTTATCTCTAAATCCTTAGTCCTAAGTAAATTACATTTATTAGAAGATTGGGCTTCATAGTGAATAACAGTAGAGTGGAAGGCATTCTTAATTCTCATGAAGAGAGTCTCTATAATTATATCTGATATAACTCTGAAACTTTTTAAGTTTTATGTATTGTTTCCTTTTGTTTTGCATTTTTAAGATGGCTGGCCTGGAAGTGGGGAAGAAGTTGTTTGCCATCAATGGAGACCTAGTGTTCCTGAGGCCTTACTCTGAAGTGGAAGTTCTCCTCAGGCGGTGTTTCAACAGCAAGGGGCCAATCCGAGTGCTGGTCAGCACTAAGCCAAGAGAGTAAGGCAGATCCAAGTCTACACTGAACTGTGAAAATTGTCTCTGTGTGCACATCTCAGTTTTTTTTTTCTTTGTTTTTTTTTTCTCTCTGTAGGACTGTAAAGATCCCAGACTCTGCAGACGGTCTGGGCTTCCAGATCCGGGGATTTGGCCCCTCTGTGGTCCATGCTGTTGGAAGAGGTAGAAGATATATGTCTGACTGCATCAGCAAAAGAGTTGCATTTGTTGCCAGTGTCACAGCTGGCAGGCAGCTGCTGCCTCAGTCTTTAGGGAAATGCATGACTTGGCTGCTGTAAGAAAAGTCACAATGATTTCCTCCCACCTATTCACAGTTTTATTTTTTTTTTCTCACAAGATCCCCTTCTTTGCAGGGTTTACAAAGGCCCTGCATTCATCAGAGTCCTGTTCCCTCTGTGTTCTTCCTTAATGGAGCCTGTATAGAAGCGCCGCTATCAGGCATGGAACAAAATGGGGTCCAATCAGAAAACAATCCATAACCTTGTCTGGCTCTCCTCAGGGGAATTGAATCTTTTTTTTTTTTTCTAAAGCAATCTAAATTGGACAGGAGAGTTGAAAAGTGCCGCCCGTGTGCTTGCATGTGGATTTTGATTGTTGACTTGATGCTGTTATTTCCTGGGAACCTGCTGTGTGTTTAGTAAAAGCACTGAGCTCAAGGTGTGGTGGGTGTCTAATCCCTCAGCTTTTCACTGCAGACTCTGTCCCTGGGTGTTTGGGGTCAGCAGGAGTAGGTAATACCAATTAGGGTGCCTGTCTGATGCTGGATGTGCAGAGAATTATTGATTATTGTGTTGTATCCTCCATGAGATTCACTTCCTATGGCTTTTAAAAAGAAGGGGCACTGGGGAACGTGTTCACCTTAGCTAACAAGAATCTGTAGCACATCGGGAACAACTGAGCTATTGATATCTGCAATTACCCTATGCAAATTATACTTTTAACCAATTACTGTATATTAATTTCAGATGCACAATACATGAAATGAGATTTTGCATTACATGTTTTGTTGTTTGCAAAAATTGTGGTCCACTGGCGCAATGTTTTGTAGACATGTACAAAAAAAATACCTTATGAAACAGTAAAACGTGCATGATCAGTGAAGAAGTACCTCAAGAGGAGCAAAAAAAATATTTAGAACAATGTGAACATCCATCGTCTATAGCAGGGTTCCTCAATTCCAGTCCCTGAACAATGGTGTTCTGAGTCGTTTAGATCTGTTTTTAGCTCAACATGCCTGAGTTAAATAATCAGGACATTAGCAGCACTTTGCAGAACTTGACTTCATACTGAGGTAATTCAGCCATTTTATTCATGTCTGGAAGCAGAGATGCATCTAAAGGGTATAGGACACCGGAGCTCCACGACTGTAATTAAGGAACCCTACTCCAAGCCACTACTTATCCTTGTAAGGTTGGAGAGGGACTAATTTCTATCTCCAGCGGTTATTGGATGAGAAGCGGTGACACCGAGCAAAGGGCGTCAGCCCATAAACATTGTTTATTAACTAATTAATTAATTTGAGAGAAGCAACAATCAGAGATTGTTCAGATTAACAAAATCTGACTAAATGATACATCATTGATTGTGATAAAAATAAAAGTAAAGTTAATAGCTGTAAAGAGCAGGAAAGTTCTGCTCCAATAGTGATATCGGAAATGGGTCTAATATCTAAAATAACTGCCTACCTGTAAAATCTCAGATATTAGGAATGCTTTGCTACAATCCACTTTGGTTTAAAGTTTATGTAACTTTTTGGTAAATAAAAAAATGGGTCAGTTGTTCTATTACCTGATGCTATTAAGTATTGTTTTCTTTTTAAGAAATATCGCTTGATTAAAGCCTTTTCAGAATCAGAATCAGACATACTCTAATCATTACGGTCTATAAAATAAACAATAAAAGTATGTATGATTGATAATATCGGGTCAATATTGTTATCGGTCAATAATCAAAGCTGCAATATTGGTATTATATCGGAAATGAAAAAGTTCTATCTGGAAAATTAACCCCAAATAAATAGCTAATTGTAGTCTCTTCTGGCCATAGATTGTGTATAAAATAGAATAGGCCTCTTTAGGACACTACCTGCATTTAGTGTAAAATTTCTTTACTAAAAAGCTGAAACACATTTAATTTAATAGTATTTTGTTTTTAATTTAATGTCCTACTAGATTTACGTATTTATGTCGGTATTATTAAAATTCTAGGTATTGATACCATAATGTAGTATTTTATTTAATAATATATGTAAGTATTGATAATTATTCATGCTTTTGTGAAACAAACAGAACAGAAACAGGGTAAAAGCAGCAATACCTTTAGTTTTGAAGATTAGAGACTCATTCTTATGGAATTTATTAACACAACAGATCAAAATTCTAATGATAACAACCAAAAAAATCCCAGAAAGAATTGCTACTAATATTGTCCTCTCTTAAGTTTGGTTTTGTAGTGCTATTAGCTGCTGAGACTGATTTTATATTTCTCTTTAAAAAGTGAGAACTAAAATAAAAAAACCCAAATCCTATTTTTTTTTAAGACTTGCTACCCTGAGTATTATTACTTGTTTAAAGTAGAACCAGATGTGACTGTGTGATAGAGAGAGATGTTACTAAACCCTGCAGAAACAGCAACCTTCATTTTTTCATCAAGATTCATGAGAATCTTGTCATTTTTTCTTAAATTAAGTGCATTTTTTTTCTTGAATTGAGAAGGTAAGGGAGACACTTTACCAATGAAACAAGACAATTTACATTTATAACGAGAAAAAGGCAATTGCATTGTCTTAGTTCAAGTGCATATTATCGAATTCTGTTTTTCAAGATAAAAAAAAAACAAATTCCATTGGCAGATCATATTATTAACCTACTTAAATTAAGCTTAAATAAGAAATGTTGACTTATTTCTAGATCGTTTTTCTAATGCAGGAAAATCTTAATGAAATAATAGACATTCTACTGCAGACAGAAGTTGAAAGCTCTCAGAGATAAGATTTAGGCTCTGGCTTACTTTTAGCATGACATGTATAGAAAATCCAGATTCCCTTCAAATACCTCCCTTTATGCATCTTTTGAGTTGAAAATAAGTTGTGTTGACATTATTATATTGTATCTGAATTATACAGTTATTTAGTAGTTTTTGGTAGAGATATCAACCCTGTAATTTAAGTCTCCAGCCTCTTTGCTTAACTTTCTAAAGGTAATTCAGGTTGTGCTTTTAAAAGACAAAGAAAACATTGGGTGTAATATTTAGCTTCTCTCTGACTGCTTTTAACCTTGAAATTTTCCTGTGATCTGAATCACATCCCTTAAAGTGACCCACATCTATTTTAGATGAATGACTTCCCTCCTCTGGACACTGAACTTTCCTCCACACTCCTCCTGCAATGTCTAAAGCAGGAAATAGAGATGTAAAAACAAAGCCAAGGAATGTTGACTGCTACCGTTCGGTGTTCAGGATGTAGACGATGTTCTTGACCTTTTGCCTCGTTCCTTTCTCTTTTCGCCGACAGGAACGGTGGCTGCCACCGCCGGCCTGCACCCTGGCCAGTGCATCATCAAGGTAAACGGCATCAATGTGAGCAAGGAGAGCCACGCCAGTGTCATCGCTCATGTCACCGCGTGCAGAAAGTACCGTCGGCCATCACAGGTGAGGCAGGAGGAGAAGACAGTAAAGGCAAAAGGGGATAGAGTGCAGACTAAATCCAGCTGGACACTTACATTCATCAAAGCCTCCCCTTTTGCCATAGTTTGACTCTATTTTAATGGCCGTCATTTATAATATGTGACAGAGAAACAAAATGGAATTAAGAAAACAAAAGTCTAGAAAGAAAGACACAATCCAGCAGTGAGGATGTGTTAAAAAGCCTTAAAAAAGATGAAAATTAGTCTTGTTTGCCACAATTCTTGGTATGGCTAATAAATCCTATAAAAGAGCTACAACTGAAACATGTTTCATAATTCATACGTAAGTTATTTCATGATTCAAATGATCCGAAATCCAGGTTTCCTTGCTATGTCTGCTTCTCTTTCAAAGATACTTAGAACCTTTTAAATTCATGCTGTCATAAACATTTTGCAGGGTCATCAGAATGCTTCCTAAAACAAAAAAAATTAACTCTCAAAAAGGGAAAACTATTTTTCCTGAATCAGTTTTATCCTTAAATTCAAGAATTAAAGGTAGGGTGACCAACTTCTCACATTTTCAGTGAAATTTCAGTAATTCCTCCTGAGGTTTTTATGTAAATAAGTGTGCATTTCTCTGTATCGCTGCATAGATTGGGTGGATTTTTAAGCTCTTGCTTTACTTACAGCCTCCTACCTTGCTGCTGGTGACATTTCTAACTATAAGCCAATTGATCTGTCTGTTATGTAATGGATAAAGGCTGCAGAGGAGACAGAGAACCAAAGAAAATGGAAACAAGCAGTGGTTATAAACTCAGCAGACAGACTCTGAGCTCCTGTTTTCCTTTTTGTAACTCTTTTCTATTTCTTAAGGGTCATTAAACAGAAATAATAGTGTTTTTTTCTCCTGCGGTGCAGAGGGAGGAGGTGAAAGTTCTGGAGATGACAGGGGGAGTGTTGCAGATCAAAATTGGTTTTTTATTCATTCTCAGATGGTGGTTGAAACAAGACCAGTGCTGGAGGAGAGGCCACCTGTTGGAAGTGGGAAATTGGGAAAATAACTACAAGGGTGTGTGCGTATTGCATCACTTAGAATTATGTTTCATCACAACTGAGCTCTGCTGGGATTCGGAGCTTAATGATGCACTGCAGCAGGAGATCTGGTTTATACCTTGAGTGGATGCAAAGGAACTGCCTTCTCTTTCTTGTCCTCTCCCTGTTTCTCTGTGTGAAATGGGATGTGGTGGTTATAAGCATGGAGACCAGAGAGCTGACACAGCGTGCAGACTTGGCAAAAACCACAGTGCTGGTTCGGGTGTGGAAACCCTAAGCAGACAGAGACACACGCCTGTGAGGCACGCTAGAGTGGCTTGATTAGACCGGCACGGCTTTGTTACTGCGTCTTCGTCGATTGCTGCATTTTCATATGTTTTTGAAGCCTTTCTTTTGTTTGCTCTGCCAGCCCAACTGTGACAGTAAACAACATAGCTGTGCATAATCAACACTACATGCTGCAGCCTCAGCCTGTGCACACATAGCATACATTTTAAGAAATAGATTTTTTCTGGAAAAATTAGATAATATTCATTAACATGATGTTGTTACCTTTCTCTTGTCACTACACGTGGAGAAATACAATTTTTTTTTTTGGAGAATGTCTCATTTCAGTGGACTAGCCTACCGCTCAGCTATAGAAACTCATTGGTTAATGATACCAGAGTCAGTTGTTCTAATATCTATACTGGTTTAACGTTAATCTCTGCTTTAATAATATCACTTGATCAGGTCTTTCCTAATGACCTACACTAAAAAATAAGTAATTAAAGCATTTTTGACAGTGATAAAGACATATCAGGTCAATATCGGTTTGAGTCAATTCTCAAAGCTGCTGTATCTGTATCGTATCGAGAGTGAAAAACGTGTATCGGGCATGGTGATTATCCTGTTAGCTGGAGTTACATAAAAAATCTTGTTATTCTGCCTTGCCTTAACTCTGTGACCTTTAAAAAATGCCAATATTTTCAGAATATTTTCGTGCGATAGTGACAGATGCGAAATCTGAAAAGCTAAAAAAAAGTCAGCTTTTCTGTAATACTCATTTAACCTTCTTGTTATCCCCTAAGAGTATTGCTCTCACCCATAGCCTAACAAAGAGCAGAGACGCCATAGAAAATAAAGTTTAAATCACACCTTATACCTCCCTGCTTTCTTTGGCTTCACTTTATACACCTAACTAATACTAGTTCATACTAATACAGATAATTGTGAAAACATGACAATTCTTGGTGTGCTGGCAGTTCTGGTTCCCATTCAGAGGTGGGATCTGGTGACTCATGGACAACACCTCTCACCCCCTGCACCAGACAGTAGAGGAGCTGGGAAGCTCCTTTAGTGAAAGACTTATACACCCTTTATGTAAAAAGGAGTGCCACCGCAGCTCATTCATCCCTGCTGCCATCAGACTTTACACTATAACTGCAATAACTTGTGCAATGACTAATGTGCAATTACTATTTGATACCCTGTCCAATAACTAAAACACAATTTATATTAATACCCATTTAATACCCTGTGCAATAACCTGTTCAATAAGAAACTTCAGCTGTCATACTGTATATACATATGTGACCACACTGTAGATTATGTATGCTGACTACCCAATGCACCTTTTCCTCCTTTTGGCACCTTCTTTTTGACTATTGAGCCGATGTGACATGTGAATTTCTCCACTGAGAGATCAATATAGTCTGTCTTGTCTTGTCATGCCTTGTTTAGATAAAATAAATAAAAAAAAGAAAAAAAAGATTTCTTTCTGCATTTTTTGAAATGGAGAAAAAACACAAATTGGATTTCTGATGCATCTCTTCAAACTGGAGTGGCATTTGAAACAATACCTTTTGAATTACTTCGAAATCTACATTTTGCACGTCATATCTGCTTTACTGTAATGGGAATCAAACTATATAGTCTTTTTTTTAATTAGTTTCTTGTGACTTTTGTCTCTATTAAACATAAGATTTGAACAATTTCTTACCTATTAGGACCTGATCAAGCTGAAAATGCTAATCAGGTGAATTATTGGTGTAGATATAATTGCTGTTGCAAAGCTCCTTTAGACAACATGTGAATTAATATAAATACATTTCATTAGATAAATGTATTTATCAGTACGACTTTCCTTTTTTTCCTTTTTTAGTTAACAGATTTAAACTAAATGTGTAAAACTATTGCTGCTTTTGGTCTGTAAATACATCAACCAACATTGTTTCAGTTTGACTTTTTTTTAAGCATATAAGGGTTGGGGTTAAATGCTTTTATGCATAAATGAAAACAATCTAGTAAAGCCTCCATCTGACCCTGTTTTTATAATTTCTTTAATAAACATATTTATTGTTTCTGCAGCAAGACACCATTAAGTGGATTTACAACAACAGCGAGAGCGCTTTGGAGGAAAACCAGAAAAGTAACATGAAACCCACCCTGGAGGAGAACGGGGACGGCTTTGAGGGCAAAGTGGAAGGTGACCACACACAAACATTCTCAAAGCGCGTTGAAATCACCCACTTAGGAGGAAACATTGTGATCCGGGGTGTTTGTGGATGTAACACATGCCTATTCACAGTAACACACCAATGCTTGCTCATACTGACAGAGTGAGAGGCAGCTTTGAAACAGGCTCATCTGGATTGTGTTAGTATGAGAACTCTGCTTCCTCTGGCTCATCAAGTGTTAATTTCCCTCAACAATTTATAGATCCCAAAGAGAGAGTAAAACAAGGAAAGCTATTCCCCTCGCAGCAAATTGCTGCAGAGCACATTTTATTGCCATATTAAGTCATTGCATTAGCATAGGGCTGTTTAATTTAGTGGAACTGCTCATCATTTTTTTCTTCTCTTTGGGGATAGATGGAGGAAACCATGAGAAATGCCTTTTCTTCAAATTATGTGCTGACTTGGTGGTCTAACCTCCTATTTTTGCTGAATGTGATGATGAAATCAAAGTTCATCCCAGAATTTATGATTTTTGTACTGTTATGTTTGGGTGATAAAAAACCAAACTGAATCCTGTGTTTGTTTATTTTTTTTTCTTGTTTTCCTAGAAGTAATTGACAAATTCAACACGATAGCCATCATCGATGGGAAGAAGGACCATGTGAGCCTCACAGTAGACAATGTCCACCTGGAGTATGGAGTGGTGTATGAGTATGACAGTACAGCTGGAATCAAATGCCACGTTCTGGAGAAGATGGTCGAACCCAAGGGGTTCTTCAGCCTAACTGCTAAGGTATTCACTGCCGCTGTGTTACCAGATCTGCTGGGGTAGTCCGATCTGATTGGCTGAACGTTGTAACATGACAGAAAACGTGGTTGCCCAGACAACGATAATAACTTAATACAGCGTCCGTTTGCCGAGTCAGGAGCATCTGCAGTGTTAGCGTGTCTAATGACCAATGAAGTTTTATCTGATTGATGACAAAACTGAAAAGATATGTTTATAGTGAACAAAGTAACTGCAAAACCATGATATAAAAGGGTGGGTAGCGCTGTGGCTAGTTGTGCTTAGTACCTAACAGATTAGCCTGTTTTAGGTAGTTAGTCATATTAAGCTGCACTACTTTTAAATTTGTCTAAAATCTCTATGAAAGTAATTTTTAAGATATTACATTTGTCCTCCTCTGCCCTCAGATCTTAATGAAAATAAGAACAAGCACTGAGACTTTTTGTGTCCCCTTGTTAAATAGCAGAGGTCAGTCTGTCTTAGAAGGCAGTGCTTTCCTTCAAGACTGAGAATGAGTGTTTTCTACTTTCTGCTACTTTAGATCACAGATGAAATGTAAAATAATAGCAAATATTAGTAAAAATATGTTGAAACTCCTGAAGAGATCTGATTCTTAACAAATGTGAGCTACAGAGTTTGACCAAGTGGCGTTCCGTATGATGACACCATAAGAAAGGGCAGGGCCCCGAGCAGATCTGACCACCCGAGCAGATCTGGTACCTACACTGTTACCTTTTAAATGATCGCAGCCCATTTTGCAAAAACAAGTCTATTATATTGTATAGTGTATTGTTTTCAACACAAACATATCTTTAAGCAGCTTGTGAAGCTTTATAAAATGGATTTGAAATTTGAATCTGACAACTTGCGGAAAACGACAAGGACTGTTTAAAAAGGATTATTAAAGATCCACTTCTTTATTTTTTTTTTTTTCACAATTTTGATTGGTTGCATTTAATGTACTTATTTAAATTAGTTTGTAATAAGTTGCATTATTATCCTTCTGTAACTTTTAGGAAAAAAATAAAAAAAAAGACTTGCAAATTATTATTTAGCCAAAACTGCAAAAAGTATAAAGTGCCAAAAGGGTAAACAACCAGTCTCTACTCCTAACTTTAATTTTCAATTTTCCTCATTTACCCTATCTTCACTAATAGCTGTTATTAAGTTTCTGCCTAGCCATTTAGGGAGTCTTGAAAATCATGAGTGAAAATGCCAGTCAGCGGTTGATTTCCGGATGCTTTCCTATAGCATAGAGAAGGTTTTCAGAAACGGGTTAGTAACATCCTGGAACTTTGTGTAATCAGTTGATTGAAATATGAGACTTGAGGAGATTATACAAAGCCTTTATTTTCAAGATAAAGCATCCTTGCTCTTACTACTTTGGGCCAAGGAAGAAAGCCTTCAGGCCATGAATGTCTCATAAGGAACTTCTAAGCCAAGAGGATTACTTTAGCATGGGAAAAACAGAGAAACATGCTGCTCTGTGCGGTATGCTGTTGCATCCAGATATGTAACCTGAAGCCTTAACATGCATACAGGAAGCAATAAATCACTTCGGCTTAAAGCTGCAAAGTTAACTGGGAAAAAGCTGAATTCACATTAAACAAAAAAACTGAGATAAGAATTTTGGAAAGATGTATATAAAAAAGTAAAAGCTTATGAAATCAAAAAGAAAAGCCTTACTTTTACAACACAAAATATTTGCACTTCAAAATGAATATTTACTAATTCTGAGTTTACCAGCCATGCTCAGAATCAAGTTTATTGCCAAGTTGGTTTGCACTTATAAGGAATTTGACTTGGTGTTGATGGACAAATTAGATATATATATATATATATATATATATATATACAGAACACGGAATCTATAGGTATGTACAACATAAAACATATAATATATGGACCGCAGCGTCCTGCCAGAGGGAAGTGACTGGACTAGTTTGTGGCTGGGGTGCGAGCCACAATCTTACCTGCGCGCCTCAGAGTCCTGGAGGCATACAGATCCTGGAGAGATGGAAGATTGCAGCCAATCATCTTCTCTGCAGCCTGGATGACACGGTACAGTCTGTCCTTTTACTTGGTGGTGGCACCAGCGTACCAGATGATGATGGGTAGCCATCAATGATGGAAGAGTAGAAGTGCACCATCATTGTCCTTGGCAGGTTGAATTTTTTCAGCTGCTGCAGGAATTACATCCATGCGGTGCTCCCACTTTGGGTCCTGTGTGATGATGGTTCCCAGGAAGAGGGAAGACTCTATGGTTTCAATTGTGGACTCACAGAGGGTGATGGGCTCCAGGTGCATGTTCTCCCTGCACCAGGTCGCCACACAGTCAACCTCCTCCTCACCATGGTGCACTGCTTATGGTGAACTCAGCTTTTCTTACAGACGTCATGGTTTATAAAGAGTCGTGAAGAAAATGAAGGATATGGTTGATGCTTTAAGCTGATTAAACAGTCACAGCAGTAGCCCAGTAGCTGATGGTTTTCTTAGCATTTGTGATAGACGCCTCTGTATTTGCAGTTTGCTACTCTGGTGCATAGGTGAATGTTAAATGAGGGCAATATAGATATTGTTGGTCATTTCTACAAATGAAAAGCAAATTAGTTGGTAACTGGTTCTGCATTTTGCTTCTTCATAAGTCAACATCCTTTGGTTTTCTCCATGTGAGTCATTTCAGCATTGACCCTTTGTCCTATTATTTTCTTTTCTCTATTTTTAATTAAAATCCTTTACATCAGTCAATTGTGGGTTCATTGTGTCCTTCCTGTTTACTGCCATGACATTCTTCCCATTTAAGATCAGGTCAGATTTGAAGAAATTGAAAAACCGCAACAAACATAAAAATCCACACCTCACACTCTAAAGATCTTAGTTAGCATATTAAATGTTAAAGTTCATTGTAGGGTCATTGAAAAGGGAGTGAAAGTGTGTGGCTTGTTTTTAAATGTTGCCAGAAAGAAGAATGTTCTTTACATAATATGTTAGATATAAACGATCCACTAGACCGGTGGAAAGAAAATGGAGAGTACAGATGTTTGGTCTTGATGTACATGATGTTTGGGGGGGGGGGAAGTTACCACAGTAAGGAAAATAGCATTTGTTGAGCAAAGCAGTAGAGGGTTAAGAATGTGGGCTTCCTGTGCCACCAAGAAAACTGCAGTACAGTCTCAAATCCACAACAGAATGAAATTTTTTTAAAGCAGAGTAAATGTTGGCTACAATACTGTATTACAGGGCTTTCAAAGTATTTTCATGGCATTTTTGCCGCCATTTTTTCCATAATAGATTCTGAACCATAGTAAATATTGTAAATATGTGAGGAATGTCACTAGCAGCTCATTTTTCGCCCCTTTTTTGCTACTTTGATTCCGTAAAGCCCCAATAAATTGTATTCATCAGCTTTTAGAATTTAACTGTCCATTGAAATCCTCATTGGCTTTTTGGCATGAATAGAAGCAAACTGTGGGGGGAAAACAGTTTTGACTTTTTTGGCTAAAATGCGGTCATGTTTAGAAAGCTCTGAAAATATCAACAAGCCAACATAATTCAGGGAAAATGTTTCAATTCAAACAGGAACTTGAAAGCTTCTCGTTGTTTGCTCCTGCAATGAATGCAGGCTATGTGGATTTGAAGTATACATTAGGCGTTTTGATATGTAATGTTCTGATAGTAGGAGCACAGCAGGCTTTAAATGAAAAACACATTGAATGAACATTCAGTGTGTGCGTTGCTTCTGCACAGTTAAAACCAGCAGTTTTTTTCTCCCCCTTTTTGGCTGATGGGCTGAAAGATGGTTGGAACTGACAGCCGTATTTTAGTTATTCCATTTCCTGCCTGGTTTAAGACCAGGCTTTTTACATCCCAGCAGTGATGTTCACAGAATGATCATTATTGATTTAAGGCACACAGAGAAAAGAAGATCCACTCACACATAAATATACAATGCTTGCTGAAGTGGAAAAAAAGGTCTTTGCAGCATCTTACTGCCAGATCTCATACTGAACGCCGTCTCTTTCTCTTGTAGAAAATCACACGGATTGGATTTGGATGCATATCTGAATCTAGAATTATAATTCTACTCTGTAAGAGATTTTACTGTAAAGCTTTTTCCTAAAAAAGAAAAATCAGTCATATCCGTCTCAGTTGTAGGTCTTCTTTCAATTGCAGCAAAAATAAAATTTAGTTTTAGACTCCCATATCATCTTTGCAGAGTTGGATACCCTACCTTAAGGCGGGTAAATGATTAGCTTTCTCCTTTATTTTCTCCTCCCTTCCTTTGAATTAACTCCCCTGCTCTCTTTACATATATAACCTTTGATCTGAATGACTTTGGGTATATCTTCATTAATTTATTGAGAGTAGGATCTTTATCTTTTCCAAGTCAGCTTATCTCGATGCTCTGCTGATAAATAGGACTTGGTTTTCATTCATGCTCCAGTCTTTGGATTTTAGAGGCGTTTTCTGATCAGTTCACCAGTTCCGTTTCTGGTTACCCTCGTCTTTGTGCAGATCCTGGAGGCACTGGCACGAAATGATGACACGCTGCTGCAGATGTGCAGCAGATTTAGCTCCAGCTGTGACATAATACCAAAGGACTTGCAGGTACGCTTCAAGGCCATGTGCGGTGAGAGGACGGAGCACATCAACCGCCGCATCACCAACTACAGAAAGGTACAGATTTCTGTTCTTTTTAATGAAAATGGAAGTGAAATGAATAGAAGTCAAAGTGCTTTGAGATGACATGTGTTGTGTATTTGCAGTATATAAATAAACTGAATAAAATAATAATAATACTTGAACTTTATTGATCTCCCATTGGAGAAATTAACCTCTGCATTTAACCCATCCCCTTGGCGAGCAGTGGGCTGCCATTGTGCAGTGCCTGGGGAGCATTGTTGAGTTTAACGGTCTTAAACACAAGCGCACTGCTCTAACCACTAGGCCAACACTCCCCTAATCCCCCAATATCAAGTAACTCTGGGGGAACTACAAAGATCCAACAGCTCAGGTAGGGCACAGAAGACCTCACAGATAACAAAATTGACTTTATTGATCCCAAAGGGTAGCCGAATGGAAGCCAAATGGCAGCAAAATCCCCTCCAACTTCCAGCCACTGGCCTTCTCCTGGGCCTGCATATTTTTTTGCTCTTACTCCACCCTTTCACTGAATTAAAGGGTCTGACCAGGAGATAATGCTTCTATCATTAGATCTTAATTTACACAAATCATGACAGAATACTTTTGATGTTTAAAAAGGAATTGTAGGGGACTAGCCAAGGATCCGCCCATAAAGCAAATTGGGGAAATTTTAAATTGCTACTACTGTACAGCAGAAGAACTGGGACTACGATTATTTTTCATTCTTCAGAGGGAAAAAGACACAGAATATACACTATATTGCCAAAAGTATTTGCTCACCTGCCTTGACTCACATATGAGCTTAAGTGACATCCCGTTCCTAATCCATAGGGTTCAATATGACGTCGGTCCACCCTTTGCAGCTAGAACAGCTTCAGCTCTTCTGGGAAGGCTGTCCACAAGGTTTAGGAGTGTGTTTATGGGAATTTTTGACCATTCTTCCAGAAGCGCATTTGTGAGGTCGCACACTGATGTTGGACGAGAAGGCCTGGCTCTCAGTCTCCGCTCTAATTCATCCCAAAGGTGTTCTATCGGGTTGAGGTCAGGACTCTGTGCAGGCCAGTCAAGTTCATCCACACCAGACTCTGTCATCCATGTCTTTATGGACCTTGCTTTGTGCACTGGTGCACAGTCATGTTGGAAGAGGAAGGGGCCAGCTCCAAACTGTTCCCACAAAGTTGGGAGCATGGAATTGTCCAAAATGTCTTGGTATGCTGAAGCATTCAGAGTTCCTTTCACTGGAACTAAGGGGCCAAGCCCAGCTCCTGAAAAACAACCCCACACCATAATCCCCCCTCCACCAAACTTTACACTTGGCACAATGCAGTCAGACAAGTACCGTTCTCCTGGCAACCGCCAAACCCAGACCCGTCCATCAGATTGCCAGATGGAGAAGCGCGATTCGTCACTCCAGAGAACGCGTCTCCACTGCTCTAGAGTCCAGTGGCGGCGTGCTTTACACCACCGCATCCGACGCTTTGCATTGCACTTGGTGATGTATGGCTTGGATGCAGCTGCTCGACCATGGAAACCCATTCCATGAAGCTCTCTGCGCACTGTTCTTGAGCTAATCTGAAGGCCACATGAAGTTTGGAGGTCTGTAGTGATTGACTCTGCAGAAAGTTGGCGACCTCTTCGCACTATGCGCGTCAGCATCCGCTGACCCCGCTCCTTCAGTTTACGTGGCCTACCACTTCGTGGCTGAGTTGCTGTCGTTCCCAAACACTTCCATTTTCTTATAATACAGCTGACAGTTGACTGTGGAATATTTAGGAGCGAGGAAATTTCACGACTGGATTTGTTGCACAGGTGGCATCCTATCACAGTTCCACGCTGGAATTCACTGAGCTCCTGAGAGCGACCCATTCTTTCACAAATGTTTGTAAAAACAGTCTGCATGCCTAGGTGCTTGAATTTATACACCTGTGGCCATGGAAGTGATTGGAACACCTGATTCCAATAATTTGGATGGGTGAGCAAATACTTTTGGCAATATAGTGTATGTGATCAAAGTGCTTAGATCAAAGCAGATACACATGTTTGAATTATCCAGTCAAAGTCCACTTCTAGATCTGGACTTTTTAGAGTCTTTAGATCCACTGAGACACAGCTTAAACTATTTTCATAATGAAGAAATGGGGTAAAAATGACAAAATACTTGTAATGAAGTCTGAATACACTTCTACACTTATACACTTCAATCCTCCCTTTTTTTTCCTTACCTTTTTTGAAAACATGTGTTTTTTTTCAACTTAACAATGATTTACTGATGTATTTGGTCTATCATCTAAAAAGCCCCACTGAAATACAGTCCGGTTTGTGTTTAGAATGTGGCTAAAGGAATATTTCAAATAAGAACCAGAAAACAGAAAACTTTTTCCAGTACATGACACTTACCAGAACCAGAGGTTCATCCACAAAAATTGAAATGAAAAGATACTTCTTTTGTTTTTAAATCACTTGCCTTTCTCATCTGTAGAAATCCCCTCCATAGAGCATGCATGCAAGTGTGCATGAGGAAAAGATTCAGACTAACTCCACTTCAGACAGGGGTCTTGGATTAATTACCACCTATAAATATCCCTGCAAAGTCATGGCCAGGACATCCAGTTGTGTAAGATCCCCTTTTGTTGAAGAACGTTCCTCTTTAGACCTCTGGAGGTATGAGAGAGAAGGACTGGGAAGTGTGGAACAATTAAGGCCGAGATAAACAGGAAGATGGAGAAATTAATCAGGACGGAGCTTTTGACGTGTGAAAATAAGAGCTGGAAAGTGAGCGATATTACGTCTCTCCTCTACTTCATTTAGTTATGATCAAACTAACTAAAATAACTGAAGAGAAACATTTGGTATTTAGAAGGTATATGGTGTTATGACATGATTGGGTATCTCTGTCCAACAATCTGCTGTAAACACACAAGATGGGCTATGATAGAGTTCAAGGAGAGTACAAACAAACCAGACGATCCAGGATGACCTTCCAACACTGTGTACCAGGCTTTTCATACTGTAGATATTTAATCTTGCTACATTTAAGGAAGTTTTTTTTTTTTTAAGCAGACTTAGCTTCCAGATGCTCCCTCACAAGTTCTTTATTGTTGATCGACAATGAAGGAAATTCTGCCAGTAATAAGCAGCGTATGCTGGATCCATGTGTGGAAGATTGATCTGAGTTTTATTTGTAAAGACATGTCTGTCAGGAGAAAATATGTTTGACATTTACTCTGGAAAACAGAAATCTGCAGATCCTCAGCAGCAAATTCAAAACATGAACTTACATTCCGGACCTTGTTGATGTCAAACATGAAAAGTCACAATTACAACACGTTGATATGAGCTGCTGCGCCTCATTTCAGCTCAGTCTTTATTGGTTTAAACAAAGAAGGGGTTGCGTCGGGGTCTAGGGATTTTTCCACATGTATGAGCCATGTTAATCTTAATAGGCTGTTTTAAATCTTTGATTTTCTATAAATATTTGATCTGCCACATGAAACGGAGGAATGCTAAGAGTGTACGGAAAAGTGGGTCTTTACTTTTCTTCTATTGCCAGCCGTCGGACATGTAAAGGAAAATGCAGCATTTTGTTGACATATGTTCCACTCTGTATTCACATTAAACCTTCCGTTATATGGCTCTACTTTACATCAGCTAAATAATGCAAGCTTGCATCTTCTTAAATAGTTTATGGTTTTGCAAGATCTTATCTCACTACCTTCTGACGTTGATTGAATCTCCTGATTTTCTTGCAGTTTTCTCGGGTACTGAAGAACAGAGCGTGGCCCACCTTTAAGCAGGCTAAAGCCAAAGTTTCGCCTCTCCACAGCGGCGACTTCTGTCCCACGAACTGCCACATCAATGTGATGGAGATCTCTTACCCGAAGACCACCACCTCCCTGGGCAGTGCCTTTGGTGTACAACTGGACAGCAGGAAGAACTCTTTGGAGAAGAGCGTTCGCAGCACTGGAGAGAGCGGTGAGGGCAGTGCAAGAAGCTCCAAAACAAAGACCTTTTACTTCACTATTTATCTAGTTTAGAGGTTTTACTGATGAGATGGGCTTGTGTACAGGTAAGCTAAACCCCATGGTGAACGCCCAGTACACCATCACAACTATGGCTGCACCATCTGGTCACAGCTTGGGTCGGACGGAGGGTCATGGTCTCCGGTTCTTGCTCCGAGAAGACGACCTGCTCACCCTGGATACATATCAGAAACTGCTTTATAAGCTCACTGCGTCTGTCAAAGAGATGGAGACGCATGGTGCCCATATTCATGAGTAAGTAGCTAGAAATGCCTTTTTTCATATGGTTACTCTGCTGTGCAATAAAACAAGATAATATACTTCATATGATGTAGAAGGATATGGAGATAGCATGGCAATGGTAAATGGTAAATGGCATGTACTTATATAGCGCCTTTATTCAAGTTAGGAGACCTGACCAAAGCGCTTTACACTACATTCATTCACCCATTCACACACACACTCACACACTGATGGTGGCAAGCTACATTGTAGCCACAGCTGCCCTGGGGCTCACTGACAGAAGCGAGGCTGCCGTACACTGGCGCCACCGGGCCCTCTGACCACCATCAGTAGACAATGCAGGTGAAGTGTCTTGCCCAAGGACACAACGACAATGAAAGTCGGAGTCGGGGCTTGAACCGTCAACCCTTCGATTACAGGGCAAACTCCCACATCCAACGCCACTGTCGCCCCAAGTGCATTTCCATGTAGCACAATTAACTCGTAGAATCCAATGCAACCAGTTGCCTTCAGAAGGAACTTAAATATTAGAACAAAAAGGACTGCAGACAGGCCGGAGAATATGTTATGGAGGCATTTAAACAGAGCAGTGTTCTAAAACTATTCCAATGCTATGAATATCCCAAAATGGTTTTTAATTCATTATTTGAACAATTTAAGAGGATAGCACAACTTCAAAGCTGTCAAGATAAGGCAGACTAGCTAAGCTGGCAGGCTGGAAATTAACAGCAACATTCAGTGAAGGAAACTCTACAGATAGCAGATACTGTTTGTCATGTACTTCAGAAGTCTTGCCTTTGTGGACCCTAAAATCAGACGTGATTGCAAAAAATTCCACCTTGAGCCATCTACTAAAGCCAAACATGATGGGAATGCTTTTTATAACAATATTGCATTACCATACATTAAAATAGTGAATATTTTGTGATTGTATGATGAGAAAATGTGGAAAAGTCAAATGTAACACTTTTCAGCTAGTACAGGACTGACTGAAAAAGAACATAAGAAGAAATCAGGTTCGACTCCTGAATAGCTCACCACTTGTAATACTACTCATACCTACATAATTCCTAATTAAGAAACCTTCCTAGATGGATGGTCAAAGAAAAAGTCAGGAATTGAGGTGGATGTGCATCATGCATTGCTAAAGCAAGTGAGATGATATAAATGAACCATTTAAAATATTTAAAAACAAGAAATTCTTCTTGTTTTATTCTCCAACCTAGTTATGTCAAAACATTTTCTAGCTTTAGATTAGAGTGTAGATGTTTTTAGTACTTATACTAAATATAACTAATTATTGCTCACTGAACGTTTTAAGTCATAATTAAATAAATCTTTGAAGTGTGTTAAAGTTCAGATGAAATTTTATTAGTTGAGAGAAAAAATCTCCCCCGAGCTTTCAATTGTTTTTTACAGCAGGCCATTGCCATGTTTATTTCTGTTATAAAATATTTTATTGGGCTCGCTGAGTCAGCTTTGGGGGGCGAGGCTTGAGTTATTTAAAGCCATAGAGAGACGCGTGTCATTAAATAAGCTAAAACTTACGTTCATCTAACACATAGAAGAGTTAAGTAACTTCATTTGAACTGTTTTGATCTCATTAATTGTATGAAAAAAAAAAAAAAGTATTTATAGAAACCAGTTAGCTCCATACTACTTGCTTTAACCTAAGCAGCCTTGGTGTTCTGTGACAAAGGTTGAAGAGGAAGCCTATTCGACTTCATTTGGGGAGTTTTCTTTCTTACCATAGCATGTGTTAAAAAGGGATTTTAAACTAGGCGTGGGGTGTGTATTTGCTGTACATTCTGCTGTTTGTATTCAACATATTTCCATGTTTGGTATAGATGCAGAGTTATTTGTTCTGCAGCACCTCCATTGAGCAATGAATCAAATTTCTACAAAGAAAAAGTAAGATGTTATTTAGAGCCAGGTCAACTCTATAAAACAGCATCCCTACTGCATACCTGCTCAGCAGTTTCTACTGCCCCGTACAGGCAGCTTCCTGATTGTCATGCCTGCTGTGAATCTTCAAATAATCATTTCATTGATTTAGTCATTGATAGTCCTGTCTTAATTTGGTGACTGAGATTAAAAGTTGCCTGATGAAACGAGCTGTCAGCTCACCTCGTAAATGATGAGCAGCATCCTCAGCGGGGTTTTAATATCTGAATCAGGATAAATTCTGTCATGCTCCTGTCACTGCCAATTAGAGCGCTGGCATCATCGCATGCTCCGAACAGCCATTAGGAAAAAAAAGCAAAGCAATAATGACCTTTACTGTGAGCTGTCTGTTCAACATGCAGGCTACAGAGCAGACGCTTGTTACGGGTAGCAGGGTGTAAGGATAGGCTTTTCACTGCAAGAACTCATTTGGCCTGTTGCTTGTTGAATTGTGGATTCATTGTTTTAACCTCTGCGGGATTGATGAACCTTCCTTAGAACTTCATTAGATTGGTTTGTATATTAGACCGTTAACCAGCAGGCCAAAGACCTTTACTAATACTGAACATGCTCCCGTTCTCCCACACATAAATATTCTTGTTTTTAACTCTCCAGAGGCATTTAGACACACAAACTCGGATTTTATTTTCACTTTCTTAGAGTCCTCCTTTGTTTGTGCTTGATGGGAAAATGAGAAGCTTAAGTGGCTATTTTATGTGTCATGTTGAGCGTATCCTTCTGTTTTAAAGGCCAAGAAAGGAAGTTTGCTGTAGATTCGCAGCAGGGGCATAAATATCCATATAATTTAAGGAAATATATAACATTGGCTGAGTTTGGTGTTGCATAACTTCTTGGCAGACTTTCGAGGAATCCATTTTTAGGTGGAGATCTGTGACCTTTTGTCTCTGTGCCTCGGGGACGGGGTTACAGCTGCTGGAGGACGTGCTTGGTGATGTGCTTCTTATCAGAACTTCCTCCCTTGCTTTGGTGAATACAAAAACTCATAACCTTACCCTCTTATTTCCATAACTTTGTCTTTAATTTGTTCACCCGAAAGCCCCTCACAGTGATTTAAAGCCACAGAGTTTCTTTGAGGGAAGCCTAAAATATAGATACTATTAAAAATAGATAGATTTACTATTAAAGATGGATTTTAAAGCGGGTGGGTAAATTTAGGAGGACTTCCTGAAACAAGAAGTCATTTAAAAGTCATGCCTACTCAAGATATTGCCTCCATTCTGTTCGGTATTGAAGTCTGACGCTTTGGGCGCGTAATGAATTCTTTCTTTCATCAAAACAGTTTCTAAAAGAATAATTTAAATAAATTTGATGCTGCTTATTGACAATATAAAAAAGGTTACAGTGGCTTGCTGTAGTGTGAACTGATTTGCGTGGCAGACTTTAAATTAATTCCTAATAACATACTAGAGAAAAACAAACAAACAAAAACAAAACAGTGCATAAAACTTGTAAACCAATAGCAGGTAGTAAACAGCCGGACCAAAGTAATTTTGCTGCTGTTGCTTTGCAGTATAAAGATGGTGATCTACACTAGATTAATCATTTAGCCTACAATTAGCTCTGCTGGCTTCCTTTTCTCTATCTGAACAAGACGGAGAAAACAATTCACTTCAAAAGTCCTCTAAACATGTTAAAGATTTTTTTAACTACTGAAGAAATATGGAAAGATTGTGTTGGGATTCAGGGTAATACCCGTCAGCGGAAACGGCTGATAAGTATTATAAAACTTATTTGACAATCTGTTTCCATCTCCTCTTTAGGGCATGTAATCAAGTCAAAAACTACCACAAAAGAGTATAAAAGCTTATTTCCCCATGATTCAGTCAATCTATGCGAATTCTGCTCTTTCCATAAAGCTAATCTTCGATCATACTTCAAAATGGGCATAAAAAAACAGTGTGTTGTACAGATTTGAGGGTTGATGCATTGTGGTGTCGGAGCTGGATACTGCTAGGCTTATTTTTTCTTTTTCATCTCAAGTGATCTGTCTTTTTTTTTTTAGACTTATAGGGGTATTGGGTTTACCAAGCAAAGCTTTTAAATATCTCTGCTAGGTTTCTGAGCCCCTGCTTTTAGATAACAGTTCTCCTGATTTCCTCCTTGCAACAAAATTTTGTATTTATCTTCAATATCCTGTTTGCCAATATAGCACATTGATGTTCCACTGCACAAACTGATTTGCCTTTACCAGTAGATTGTGGCTGTTACTATAAAGTGATGGTAGTGACCATTCTTTATTTCCCATCTTTCTTGGATGGGCACTTGGCTGGTCCTTTGCTGGCCCCCTACAATTCCTTTTCAAACTTCAGAACTACAGGTTCTGACCAGGGGATGAAGATTACCTCGGCAGGTGGCCACTCACACTGAGCTAAGGGCGCAGATAGCGTGTATGTCAGGGGTGTTCTGACGTACACAGATTAGAATGACCCTCAATCCGTCCCCCCCACTTTTATAAAAAAAAAAATAAAAAAAAAAACATACGGCGAAACTCACAGAAAATCAAAAAGCTTTTTCTAATTTACTGCTTTGCAACAACAACATAAAACAGTCAGATCATAGACGGGCAATCGTTTTGTTTAACTGCAGGCTGCCTGCGTCGTAGAGATTCTAATCTAAAAGTTATCCTGTCTCTGGCATTTATGTCTCGAGCCTGGTTTCCATGGTTACTCAGACAGACAGTAGTGGTGGGATAGTTCCCAATTCCGGAGTCCGGACATCAACATGAGGCCAGCCAAACCGAAAAAAACAGAAAACAATTGCATCCTTTTTTCGAAAAGCACCAACTGTAAGTAAACTGTTCATCATATCACCTTGCATTTTTTTGGTTGTCTGTTCAATGTCGCCGTGGAAAAAAGAGTAGAGACGGTCAGTGAGAATAGCGTGAAGAGAGGTGCCAATGTTATAAGGCAGGAGGCAGGGGGAATCGACTGGCATTTATTTATTTATAATTAAATGGACTGTTCCGACTTTTTCTGGAGTTGTTGGGGGTCTTTCAGAAATGTGTAGGCTACAGTAGGCTACTTGAATCCGTATTTATGCCAAGCCAA